GTTTTTTTTCGCAATAATGATGGTAGAAACACGTTTCCAGCAGTAATACTCGTGCACAGTGTGTTGCACGAGCGGAAAAAAGTCGGGGACGAAATTTCACAGTCTGGTGCCCTGAAAGTGCAGCGGATTCGAAAAAAGTCGAAGACGGGACGAGGTTCTTGAAATTCCGCGATAGCCGCAACATACTGCCCATGCAGATAGGTGATTCGCACGGGAAATTATGCGGAAGCAGTATTAGAAACAGCACCTGATTATGAGTTGAAGAATCAGAAGATGGTACTAGCAAATTATCGGAATCGAGCACAGTCGAATGCATTGATGTGCTTAGCAATGATGGCTCCAATTGAATATGTATGATTGGATATTGATTTTGACGTGATATTTTCAGTGTCAACTCAACAGTGTCTTCTTTGTTATTGAAATATTCACTTATCATATCTTTTAGCAGCTGAATTATTCACAGATTAGTTCAGAAGACTTCCGTCGATTGTTCTGATCATATTATGCATAAGGCAAGAGAAATTCTCTTGGCCAGTTCTATTTCAACGAATCTATTTTCAGAAGGAACTGATCTGATTGTGAGTGAAATCACTGATTTTTACAGAAAAAATTTCATCGAAGACGGGTGAAAAAAAATAAACCGATATTTCAACAAATGAAATGTGTTAGAGTATGAACTCTATGATTTGAAGATCATTAATAGTTTCTGATAAGTTCGTGCAACTCGAAATATTCGCCAAATAAACGAGACGTTTGGACAGATCCTTGATGACATCCAGAGATCGTTATATTCGATCCTATTTGATCCAGTAAGCTGTTCAGACTGATTTTACTAACTGAATAAACTGAAACTAACTTTTTTCGATTGTTCTATTTCATAATTTGCATAGATATTCTCATCGGGTACAATCTGCTTCGATTGAATATTCAGAAATTTCCCACTGATCATTTTAGTCATTTGGATATCATTTACGATGCGCAATTCAGGTTTTTGAACTTCATCGAACACCTTTTCCAACTGCCCTCTGAGTGGTTCTTGTTTTCTATCGTATCTTATCACCTGTTCAATAACACTGTTCAGTTTTCATTTGATTGCATGGATAACATGGATATCAGTTCAGAAAACGGCTATGAGCCTGTATTGATCATGCTATGACGTGTCCGATTACGATGTACAATCAATTTGATATCAGTAACAGTAATAGAATTACTATTGTGATGTAATAATTCGCGTTATGATAAATTGATGTCAAATAGATTTTCCGTAAAATACTGTTATTTATGGTGACCCTGTCCTCGTCTGCAATGTCCAGTCGAGAGGAATTCCTTGAATCGTACGAAATCGTTCCGGAACTTTGTGAATACGTGTTGATTACATCCGTATCGAAGGTGTGCTGATCATCCACATCCGTGTATGAAATATCCCTTTGTTGGCGCTCAATTTTTGCTTCATTTTTTACTGTCGATTTATTTTTGCTAATCTCATTGTCATCTTTCTAAAAGCGTTGATATTCAATTGCTCTGATATCAAATTTTCCTCAATATTTACAATGTGGTTATCGCATGTGTGCTAGACTGAGTAAATATCAATACGTGGAGATTTGGAGGACAAAAACGCGAGAATCTGATATTGCTTAGTGATAACAATAGGATTACACTTGTAATCAGTTATAATTGCTGATTAACTAGATAAATGTTGATCTGAACTTCTTGAAGTTGGTGTTTTGAAGAAACCTTCACCATAGAATCAGTCAAAACCTTTTTTCCATAGCATTAATGGAGGAAAGTTGAGGGTATTTGCGGTTATACTATTGAACCAAGTATGCAAGAACAATATTTCATGCGATGATTACTTCTGATCTATGATTTAACATCTTTAGGATGTTTTGATGACTATTCCTGATTTAATTAGGGATTTTACTGCTTCTACAATACCATCGATGGCGTTGATTCAGATCACTTATGAGTGCATAAGAAAACTCACCGGCACAAATGCATTCTCGAAAATTTCTTCAGCATCTTTCTCTTCGCGCATTTTCGAAGTTATATTCGCCTTGAGGCTTTTTGGTATTAACGGTTCAGTTCTGTTGCCTCTTCGCTTACCCATTTTCACGGATTTCTTCTCGATTGCCACAGAAACTGTTCGTTCAAAAGCCCAACTGAACGACGACCCTCCAACAACACAAAAATATTATCAACTGAACTGAAAATGTTCACATTTCGTGTGGTGTCGAAATACATTCATGTAAATTCAAACTTATTCTAATATGAATAAATGATGATAAATTCATTTGTTGGTATTGTTGAAATCACTTGCAAATATCTTATTTTTTCAGCTGATTATTGCAGTGGATTGCCGAAAATAATCCAGCTTTTGTCTATCATCTAACAATAACGTTGTTTAGTGTACTAATTAATCATTATTACTATTGTTCATTTGGATTGGATTGTTTTTTAAATGTTTCGTTATTCCGTAGTTTTCGCTTCCAACTTTTGTGCAAATCCAATCAGGTGTTTAAAGTTAGCTTTATCAATTGCTGTTGGATTTTTTGCATTTTGGTCAATCATCTCACAATCAGTTCACTATTTCTCACAGACAACTTATTTCTCGCAAACTTCTTGTGATCATTTCTCTATTGCAAAACATTTCGTGGCAACCAAAATGTTTCCTGATCCAAAATCAAATAAAATCTCCTCAATGCTGTCTGATAAGCTTGCAATCTCATCCATTCACTATATAACCAATGGAACGCTCCAAACTACACGCTTCATTGATCAATCACCAATGTTCATATAATGTAGGCTGTAACACACGAAAACGAATCATTGCTGAATTTGAATGTTCATTTGCTTATGATTAGTTGTTCTTTTATAAATTACATCGGATTCCGGTTAAATTAATAGAGATTTTGTTTGGATATTGTGATGTGGAGATTAATTTTGAGCAAAACGTTTCAGTAAATAAATTTGATTGCAGTTTCTTATCGTTTAATGCCATTATTGCGTTGTCCAAA